CCCTTCCTATCCTGCTTTGGAGAGCTGGCCTGTCCCCCCGTGGGTTCCAGTGACCTGCCAGTCACCACCGCATCACCCACGGCCTTCTTCCTTTTTGAAAAATCCTTCCAGCCCAGGCCCACCCACAGCCCCACAGCCTTTTGCCTTGGGCTGACTCACTCCCTCCCAGATCCTTCCTCTCCCACCCACCCTAGACCCATCCCTCACTATGGACAAGCGACAGTCGCTCTCTCCTCCATGGGCAGTAGCAGCCAGGTGGGGAGCGGCAGTGGGGGTGGGGATGGCAGTTCCCAGCTCCAGAGACTGACCCAGGCCTCTCGGGTGGGACCGGGAGGGGAAAGTGAGATAAAATGTTGGACCAAGTGGAGACGTTGGAGTTGAAGTTTGTGTGTTTGTGAAGTTTCGGGGCGCCTACACCGGACTTGCGCTGTATTTCTGTGTGGCAGCGCGTGTGTGTGCTGTGAATGTGTTGGTGTGCAGAGAATAGTTGATGGTAGACATTCTCAGTAGAGGAAGAGAGAGGCGGGTGTCTGTGTGTGTGGGTGTGTGGGTGTGCATTCATTGCTGGCAATCCCCACTTTTCTGGGTGTGATTAGTTGATTATTATAATTAAGATAACTTTGGGTAGTTCTGTTGTTAAGGAGCTCAATTTGCATTTGTGTATGTATGTGTGAATTTAGGGGTTGATAAAACAATTTCAGTGCTAACCGATCCTGGGTCACTGGCCTCCTAGCCATGGTGGTTTTCCCTTCTCCACGTTCCCGACTCGGAGAACTTCTTAGATCTTTAAAACAACTAAAAAAAATTTTTTTTAATGTTTTATTTATTTTTGAGAGAGAGAGAGAGAGAGAGAGAGCGTGAGCAGGGGAGGGGCAGAGCGAGAGGGAGACCCAGAATCCGAAGCAGGCTCCAGGCTCTGAGCTGTCGGCATAGAGCCAGACGTGGGGTTCGAACTCACGAACCGTGAGATCATGACCTGAGCTGAAACCAAGAGTCCAATGCTTAACCAACTGAGCCACTCAGATGCCCCTAAGACAATTTTTTTTTTTTTTTAGTTCTAAGCCTCTTTAATTTGGACTCACTGGCTTAATTTCTCTTGGGGCAGGTGAAAACAGCTTTGTTTTCCATCGGCTGTTTGCTAGTGACTATCTAATTTCCATGAAGTTGGATCTGAGGTTGATGGGGGGGGGGTAGGGGAGATCCTTTGATGCCTGAGCACATTTTGCATTTCGATAGGTACAAGGTAGTGCTGGGATATCCTCCTAAAAGGTGATACTAATCTACACCCGCACCAGTAGCGTGTGAGAGGACCCCTTTCCCTACAGACTCAGCAGCGTTGGATATCAGTTGTGAACCACTTTGCCAACATGACTGATGAAAAATCACCTCCTTTTAATCTACGTAATGACGGTGAATTGGAACACATCAGAGGCGTTCAGGATGGGGTGGAGGGTGTGGTGACCCTGCGAATCGTTTCAAGATGGGATAGTCCTGAGCCCTAGCTCAGGAATTTAGAGTCTCAGGCCCTGTCCTCTGAGGGCACGATGGTAAGTGGTCTTTTTGGTTTTTTATTTTTTTATATATATTTTTTAACGTTTACTTTATTTTTGAGAGAGAGAGCGCGAGCGGGGCAGGGGCAGAGAGAGAGGGAGACACAGAATGCGAAGCAGGCCCCAGGCTCTGAGTTGTCAGCACAGAGCCTGACGTGGGGCTCGAACCCACAAACCGTGAGATCTTGACCTGAGCCGAAGTCGGACGCTTAACCGACTGAGCCCCCCCCCCCAGGCGCCCCGTAAGTGGTCTTTTTGAAGGGCTTCCTTTGGCATCAGACCGTGTTCCTTCCCAGCAAAGTGTCATGTAAATCAGGGGCTATTTTGGGATTCCAGCTGGTGGTGATTCTAGACTTTTAGGGTGAAATGAGACCTCCCTTCTCTTCTCCCTTTCCCCCATTCTCTTCCCGCTTCTCCTGCATTTCCCTCTACCAGAGCTAAGCAGGGTAGAGAGATGGCCCCCAGGGCATGTATGCTGCAGTCAGGAGCCCCCGACACTGTTCTCCCACCAAGGATCCGTCAACACGGCTCTCCAGTCCTTGGCTGCTTCAAGTATAAACTTAGAAGTAACATTGTACATTTCAGGGGCTCCTGGGTGGCCCAGTGGATTAAGCATCCAACTTTGGCTCAGGTCGTGATCTCACGGTTTGTGAGTTTGAGCCCTGCATCGGGCTCTTGGCTGTCTGTGTCGGGCTCGCTTCGGATCCTCTGCGTCCCTCTCTCTCTGCCCTTCCCCTGCTCACGCTCTCCCTCTCTCAAAAATAACTAATAAAGAAACAGAAATTTTTTAAATTACCTTTCAAAGGATGCTAAGTAGAGACACAATGAATACGTTCCTTCTCTTCCTTTATTCCTACAAGTTTGAAGGGGAGCTGGTTATGATACAAAAAATGTGTGCGACCCGACTGCGTCATAGAAGGAGTCGGTGGTAGAGACCGAGTTGAAAATATCGCCCCAACCTTAATTGTTCAAGGCCTCATCTGTCACCTTTGATTTCTCAAGTCAGCTGGCCTGCTGAGCCCCTGGGCTCCAGAACTCTGGACGCTTGCTTGGGGTCCTTGGGCCTGAGGGCCTGAGGGCTTTGATAGCTCGGGGCCTGGGAGAGGGTGGGGTGGAGGAGGGACCGGATGAGCTGAGTTTCGCATCTTTCAAACTTCTTAACAGCTCTCAGAGGAAAAATGAACAGGAGTTACTGTCCCCACTTACAGGTGAAGAAACTGAGGTTTGGTTTGGGAATTAACTTATCTAAGGTCATAGGGCCAGTAAGCCTTTTTTTTTTTTTTTTCTCAGCATAGGAGAGTCCGGAGAAGACAGGAATGTCGGGAGACCTTCCCAAGGTTCTTAAGGGTGTCGTTCTGGGAATGCCTAAGGACTAGGATGCCCCCCGAAAGTGTTCCTAGGTCTCTGGCACTCTCCCTCCCCCAGGTCTCCTGACTCAGGGACTGGTGTCTTTCTTCCCACCCTGCATGACTTCTTGTAGGAGGAGGGGAGAGGTGTGTGGGAATGAAACGTAATTCTGATGAGGGTGAGATTCTGCCATCCTGCAAAATCTGCTCTTCCTGCTTGGGTTGGAAAAGAAAAGCCAAGCCATCAGGATTGGTGATGGTGGAAGTGGCGAGATGGGTGTGGTGTGAAAGTGCTTCCTTCTCCGGCTCTCTTGCTCTGGCGCGATAGAGGATAATACAGCATCCCAACCTCGACTCCCTCCACTTTTCCTGGGAGCCAGGCCTTTGAGAGTGGGGACTGTGCTCAACAGAATCCTCTTCCAGGTGGCTGGGAAGTTCCACCTAGGATTTTAGCTACTTCTCTGAAGGCTGAGGCCTGGGGCAGGCCATCCACAGACATCTGGCCCCCGGAGGGGGCTGGGGGCAGGGGGAGCCTGGGTGCCACAGGGCTGGGAGCATCATGGCACCGCGAGGACCACAGTGGAGAGGATGGGGCGGGGACTGAGACGGGACGAGGGCTTGGGAGACTGAGGCATGAGGGCCTATGGGGAAGTGCCTCTGGGGGGCTGGCTTGTGGCTTTGCTCCCGGCTAGGAAGCAAACTAAGATTCGAGACCGTGTCCATCAACTGACCCTCTGAAAGAAGAACAGCGAAAAAGCCCTGATTCATAGTGTTTGCTGATTTCCGTGGTGCAACTATCCCTATGGTGGCTGATTTCAAGCTACGCTTGTGGTATCCCTGGATGCAGAGTTGGGAGGAGACGTGCCGTAGCACGGTTATCTAGTATTTTCCGCCAGGTGGGAACAAGAGATGTAAGTAACCTCAAGATGGGGCGCCTGGGTGGTTCAGTCAGCTAAGCGTCTGGCTTCAGCTCAGGTCATGATCTCACGGCTGGTGAGTTCGAGCCCCATGTCGGGCTCTGTGCGGACCGCTCGGAACCCGGGAGTGTGCGTTGGGATTCTGTGTCGCCGGCTCTCTCTGCCTCTCCCCCGCCGGCTCTCTGTCTCTCAAAAATAAATAAACATTAAAAAACTGAAAACAGAAAAAAAGTAACCTCAGGAGCAGAGATAACAGGAACATGTAGTAAACGAACTGAGAAGCGATGAGTTTTGCGTATTTATCACCTCGGCTGATAATGTATTTAATAGTAAGTTGATATAATTTCAGTTTTAGTTATGGCATTGTTTAGCGACTGGCTGGCATTTCCGCTTGGCTCTCTTGAGGGGTGGAAGCTGACTCCAGCACATGGCTGAAAGCCTTGGCACAGGGGTGGCTGTCTGCGACGTGGGGGGGGGCTGATGGATGTTGGTGGGTCTTTCTGTTCTCCCTAGGCGGATGTTCCCGTTCTTGTCATTTACTGTGGCGGGGCTGGAGCCCACCAGCCATTACCGGATGTTCGTGGACGTGGTCTTGGTGGACCAGCACCACTGGCGGTATCAGAGCGGCAAGTGGGTGCAGTGTGGCAAGGCTGAGGGCAACATGCCAGGTAGGAAGCCCCCTGGAGAACCCTGGAGGCTCTTTTTCGCCGAGACTGAGCGCCCCCTGGTGGACCCAGGAGGAACCCGCGAGCCACTGCCCGCTACACCTAAGCCTTAACTCCCCATCCCACCCTTGTCCCCTCCCACTTCTCACCCCGTTCTGTTTGTCCTCTCTTCTCTCTTCTGCCTTAGCCTGTCTTCTGCTCAGTCCTCTGTGCCCACCTCCCCTTGCCCTGACCCATCTAGTCCTGCCCCTGCAGCCTTTTCGACATCCCCCTCCGAACAGGCAAAGAAGCCCCATCTCACCAGGGCTCTGGTCCCCCGGGGGCTGCATGCCAAAGAGGTTAACTGTCCACAGGAAACCGCCTGTACGTCCACCCAGATTCCCCCAATACTGGAGCCCATTGGATGCGCCAGGAAGTTTCGTTCGGGAAACTAAAGCTCACGAACAACAAAGGGGCCTCTAACAATGTGACCCAGGTGGGATTCCTCGCCACCCCCCACCCCTCCTGGCTGATTCTGTTCTGTGAAAGTCCCTTTTCTTCCTCTCTGACTCTGGTTCTTTTCCATGCACCGTGCGGGGAAGATGAGGTGGGAGGAAGCTGAGTCTCAGGGGCAGACACGGGGTTGCATTCAGGATGACATGGGCCAAGGTGGCCCTGGGGGTTTCTTCATCAAACCCGAGGCCGCCATCACTTGTGTGCCATGCCGGGCATAGGGTTGGTGCCCGCGGCCTCAGGAAATGGACGCGGAGTCTAAGTTGAACAGAGCCTTGAGAAGCCTTGCTTGTGCTAATACCTTGGTCACAACGGACATCTGTGGGTAGGAAACAGGGCAAGAGGGCAGAAGTGGTGCCCTGGAGAGGCTGGGCACCAGAGTTAGAAGGCCTGGGGGAAGCTACGTGGTAGCAGGGCAGGGGAATGGACGCTATGACCTCAGGGTCCCTTCTAGCCTGGCCACAGGACCAGCCGTGGGTGGGGGTAGAGGACCCGTAGACCCCCACAAGCATGTGGCTCTCTCTCAGATGATCGTGCTCCAGTCTCTCCATAAGTACCAGCCTCGGCTACACATCGTCGAGGTGAACGATGGGGAGCCGGAGGTGGCCTGCAACGCCTCCAACACGCATGTCTTCACCTTCCAAGAGACCCAGTTCATTGCCGTGACCGCCTACCAGAATGCAGAGGTGAGGGCTGCCGGGTGGGGCTGAGCCTCGAGGGACAGGAGGGGAGAGGGAGGCCCACAGGCTTCCCTGGTGGGGAATTCCAAAGTTCTCTGGCACCAGACTCAGGACTCAGGTGCCTCTGTTTCCCCTCTCCAGATCACTCAGCTGAAAATTGATAATAACCCTTTTGCCAAAGGATTCCGGGAGAACTTTGAGTCGTAAGTGCCACTGGGTTCAGCTCACCTTTGCAGAGGGCCTCCTCTTGGTTCCTCCTGGGACTCGGCTCCAGACTGGTGCTGAGCACGTCTCCTTCCCTGGGGGTGGGCAGGGGTGGGGTGGATGCTGGAGGGCCGGCAGGGCAAGAGGGTCCAGGGAGGGACGTGCAGTAGGCAGGCTTACAGGTCAGTGGTTCTGTTTGTGACCGCTTTTCTTGCCTCCTTTTTTTTTTTTTTTTTTTTAGCATGTATGCATCTGTTGACAGCAGCGTCCCCTCCCCGCCTGGACCCAACTGTCAGTTGCTTGGGGGAGACCACTACTCTCCTCTCCTACCCAACCAGTATCCCGTTCCCAGTCGCTTCTACTCCGACCTTCCCGGGCAAGCCAAGGATGTGGTTTCCCAGCCTTACTGGCTGGGACCCCCCCGGGACCACAGCTATGAGGCCGAGTTTCGAGCGGTCAGCATGAAGCCTGCATTCCTGCCCTCCGCCCCTGGACCCACCGTGTCCTACTACCGAGGCCAAGAGGTCCTGACGCCTGGAGCTGGCTGGCCTGTGGCCCCCCAGTACCCTCCCAAGATGGGCCCAGGCAGCTGGTTCCGCCCCATGCGGACTCTGCCCATGGAACCCGGTCCCGGAGCTTCAGAGGGACGGGGCCCGGAGGACCAGGGCTCCCCCTCCGTGTGGACTGAGATCACCCCGCTGCGGCCGGAGTCCAGTGACTCAGGACTGGGCGAAGGAGACTCTAAGAGGAGGCGTGTGTCCCCCTATCCTTCCAGCGGCGATAGCTCCTCCCCTGCTGGGGCCCCTTCTCCTTTTGATAAGGAAACCGAAGGCCAGTTTTATAGCTATTTTCCCAACTGAGGGGATGACATGGGGAAAGGCACAGAAACAGTGTTATCAGGTTGGAGGACACCAACTAATGCAGACGACAGACTCAGGACTGAGAGGCCCCAGCTCCCTCTGTCTCTTCTCCTTTTGTAGTTGGTTGAGGAAGAGGGGGTTCAGGGGTTCACTTGCTGCTTCCGGCCCACGATGAAACCTGAGAGGAGTGTCCCCTGCCCCTTCCTCGGCCCTAACTACAATCATTTCCCTGGTGCTGCTTCTGGCTGGGGGTTCCCAGCTGGAGAACAGAGAACGGAGAACAAGAGGGTCTTGGCCACAAAGGAGCTTTCCGCTCTTCTCTGGGACTGGGTAGGGGTCCAGTGGGGCTGGCTGGGAACTGGAGACCGTCTTCCTTTATAGAACTAACTTTGCGCAGTTTCGTTTGCGCCGATGACTTTGGGCGGCTGGCCCGGACCCCCCCTGCGCAGAGACAGTGGGGTCCCAAGGAAGGGCGGGGAAGGGGGGGGTTGGTGCACACCTCAAGAAGCGAAGTCTTTGGGGGTGGTGATTATGGGGGCACGCACGCTTTTTTTCTTTTTCCTTTTTGGAATGGGGAGGCTATTTATTGTACAGAGAGTGGTGTCTGGATATATTTCTTTTGTCTTCATCACTTTCTGCAAATAAACATGAAACTGGAGAATGTGTCCTGCTTCAGGGTCCTGGAGGGGGACGTGGATGGGGACTCACCCCGCTGGGATTTGCAGGGGCACCAAAGCTCTCCAACAGCAGCTGCAGTTCCCAAGGACCTGTGCCGCCTTCTAGAAACCCAGAGTGGCTTCACTCAGGGGATCAACAGAGCAAGACCACATGTCCTGAAGGTTGATGGTTGATTCCACCTTGTAAGGCACCTTGGGACAGAGAACGGTTCCTCTGCCTGACCTGCGGAGGAGGGGTGGGAGGGCGAGACCCCAGGACAGGGCTGGGTGGGGGCTGGGAGCGCTGTGGGGAGAAGCCTTGATTTCTCTTTGCATTTTTTTAAAGATTAAAAAAAATTTTTTTTAATGTTTATTTATTTCTGATAGAGTGCGAGCGAGGAAGAGGCAGAGAGAGAGAGGGAGACATAGAATCTGAAGCAGGCTCCAGGCTCTGAGCTGTCAGCACAGAGTCCGACTCCAGGCTCGAACTCACGAACGATGAGATCATGACCTGAGCCGATGTCAGAGGCTTAACCAACTGAGCCACCCAGGCGTCCCCTAAAAAAAATTTTTTTTAATGTTTATTTATTTTTGAGAGAGACAGGTTAGACATAAAACCCCGAAGCAGGCTCCAGGCTCCCAGCTGTCAGCACAGAGCCCGATGTGGGGCTCGAACTCACAAACTGCGAGATCATGACCTGAGCTTAACCTGAACACTCAACCAACTGAGCCACCCAGGGGCACCTCTGCAGTTTTAGCAGCTTTGGTTCTCCATCGTCCTCTTAAGGTTATTCAAAGGTTAAAGGAGTAAATATAAATTGAACCACACGAAATTGCTGTTTTTGTAGGTCAAGAACAGCTAAATATGGCAATTTCATACGATTTGAACTAGCACATGTAAAGGGTTTAGAACAGTATCTGATAAACAGCACTCAATCTGTAAATTATTGTTATAATTCTCTAGCTCTGTTTCTCTCTTTCCCTCTCTCTTTATACACATACTGAATTGTATTTGTAAAATAACACCTGCTTCTCTTAAAGAATGTAAGCAATGCATAAAAGTAAAAGGCATTAAATTATCCCAAATCTTACCACCCATCAATAATTATCATTAAATGCTAACTGGGTTAGATAGATAGACAGAAGTATATTTTTATAACGTTGGAATCATACTGAAAATGCTTTTTTAAAAACAAAATTGGGGCGCCTGGGTGGCTCGGTCGGTTGAGCGTCCGGCTTCGGTTCAGGTCATGACCTCACGGTCCGTGAGTTCGAGCCCCACGTCGGGCTCTGTGCTGACAGCTCAGAGCCTGGAGCCTGCTTTCGATTCTATGTCTCCCTCTCTCTGCCCCTTCCCCACTCACGCTCTCTCTCTCTTTCTGAAAATAAATAAATAAACTTAAGAAAAAAGAAAAAAGAAAAAGAAAAAGAAAGGAGCTTATGGGAAATGTCCAGAAGTTAGAATTACTCCATTTGCCTAGTCCCAGTCCAGGGTATCCCCCACTCCAATGGGGGAGGCGGGTGTCACCATGGGCCCTTGGGTGTTCTCTCACTTCTGTTGGAGCTTGGAAATCTCCGTTTCTGTCACAGTTCACATCCCCTCCTTTCCTGGTCTCTATCCAGAGGCCATTTTCATCACCTTCTAGTTAGAAGAAGGAAAAGATAAGACATATCTGTTTCCATCCTCCTTGGATTTGGAAGCTCGTAATTTTGTAAATGACATGAGCGGTTCTGTCATCCTGCGCTGAGTGCAAATTATTCCTCCCACCCCTTAGGCTATCACTCCCTGGAGTTATTAAGTGTTGGTATAAAATTAGGCCTATTTCCTTTTCTGGGAACTGTTGTCAGTAATTACAGTACTCTTCTCCCCCACTGTTTTTATTTTTATTTAAGTTTATTTATTTATTTTTAGTAATCTCTACACCCAACCCGGGGCTCCAACTCACCACCCTGAGTCGCATGCTCTTCCCACTGAGCCAGCCAGGCGCCCCACCCCCCACTGTTTTTTAAATGGTTTTGTTCACTTCATTAGATATATTTACACCCTCTATTATCTTTTTCCAAAAGTGTGGGGGCATATGTTTTGATGCTTTTTTATTTGACTCATAAAGGTTCATTACTACTATTCCTTCTCTACTAAATGTACCTTTTACTGAAAAGAAAAAATACTGAAAATACTAAAATACATCTTTCTATGCATGAACACGGGATATTTCTTCATTTATTTAGGTCATTCTTTTTTTTTTTTAATTTTTTTAATGTTTATTTATTTTTGAGAGAGAGGGAGAGACAGAGCGTGAGCAGGGCAGGGGCAGAGAGAGAGGGAGACAGAGAATCCGAAGCAGGCTCCAGGCTCTGAGCTGTCAGCACAGAGTCCGACGCGGGGCTTGAACTCACGAACTGTGAGATCGTGACCTGAGCCGAAGTCAGACGCTCAGCCAACTGAGCCACCCAGATGCCCCTCTTTAGGTCATTCTTAAGGTCCTCAGTAAAGTTTTATAGTTTACAGGTATAGCTTTTGTATATCTTGTATTTATTCTCAAGTATTAGGGTTTTTTTTCTCTATACAGGGCATTTTTGAAAAATACATATTTTCAGGGTGCCTGGGTGGCTCAGTCAGTTAAGCATCCGACTTCAGCTCAGGTCATGATCTCAGGGCTCGTGAGTTCGAGCCCTGCATCAGGCTCTCTGCTGTCAGTGCAAAGGCTGCTTCAGGATCCCCTGTCTCCCTCTCTCTGCCCCTCCCCTGCTCATGCCCTCTCTCTCTCTAATAAATAAACATTAAAAAAAAATACGTATTTTCTAATTGTTAATTATAATTGATTTTTGTATGCCAATCGTAAGATCCAGCCATTTTACTAAACTCTCATTAATTTTTAGTGATTTGCTATAAATTCATTACTTTCTTTATGGCCAATTGGATTATTTCAAATAATGACAGTTTTATTTCTTCCTTTCTAATCATTATACTTCGAATTTCTTTTTCTTAGCTTATTGCACCTGCTAGAACTTCAAGTGCTAGTTTCTTGCCTTTTGGGGGATTCGTTCCCTCCTATTTATTCCACTTTTTCCCTCATATTGGTTTGACATGTCTATTATTTTAGTGGCTACTTCATACATCTTAATATGTACCTTTAGGGGCGCCTGGGTGGCTCAGTCGGTTAAGCGGCCGACTTCGGCTCAGGTCATGATCTCGCAGTCCGTGAGTTCGAGCCCCGCGTCGGGCTCTGTGCTGACCGCTCAGAGCCTGGAGCCTGTTTCCGATTCTGTGTCTCCCTCTCTCTCTGACCCTCCCCCATTCATGCTCTGTCTCTGTCTCAAAAATAAATAAACGTTAAAAAAAAATTGAAAAAAAAATATGTACCTTTAACCTACTAAAATCCTCATGTTGAATGATATTTTACCCTGTGTTCTGTTCAATAAAACAATTTTAGATTAGCTCTCATTCCCCCCCCCTCTTGATTTACCATTGTTTTCTCTCCTAATTTACTGATTTTGAACACTTCCAAATACATATACACACATATCTATTGGGGGGGGGGTTGGTTTGCTTGTTTTGTTTTTTTCACATATATATATATTTTTAAGTAAATTCTACATCCAACCTGGGGCTCTGACTCACAACCCTGAGATCAACAGTTCCATTCTCTACTGACTGAGCCAGCCAGGTGCCCCTTCAGTTCTTTTTTCATCCACACAGATGATACTCCTGTATTACTTTGTTGAGATAATACTTGCTTGGGCTTAATTTTATGTCACCATTCTCTTGCTCACTTTTCCTCTTTGCTTTTCTGCCTCTTTTTTTCTTCAACTAAATCCTTTACAACCTCTTCTAAACAGGTATCTTTGTAAATTCCTCAAAAGCTTGTTTCTTACAAAGATTATTATTTTTCTCCTTGTTGTTGGGTGGCTTTTTTGCTGAGTAAACAATTTTAAGTGGATAGTAATTTTTTCTTATTTTATACAAGCTATTCCGTCATCTTTTGGCTCCTATTGTTGTGAAATCTGCTACTAGTGTAATTATCATTCTTTTTTAAAATGTTT